CCCAAGCCCTGGGTCCAGCTCCAGACTTCCTTATCAGAAAGGAGATTTTTCTAATTGTTCCAACCCCGAAGCATTTCTGATACTAGTTTGTACATTCTTGGGTGAGTGTTTTTTCAAGAACTGCTATTTCATTTATCAGTTGCTGCATTACAAACCTCCTAACTTTAAACAATCACCACTTTGTTGTGCTCACAGCTTTGTGAATTACCCAATCGGAAAGGCGCACTGGGGATGACCTGCCTCTCCTGGCATAACTGGGACCACTGGCGGCTCAGAGCCTGTAGCCCTTTTCTTTCAGCTGGACTCTGCTGTTCTCCACTTGTCGATTGCTGGGGCTTGAAGGCCCAAGATGTCCTCTTTACTCATGGGAATGGCGGCTGGGCTGGGCCGGCTGAGATGGCTTAGGGTGGCCACTGCCCTTCTGCTTGGTGAGGTGGGCTCCCGCAGCATGGCGGTCTTCGGTGCGGGGGGGTGGGGGGTTGGATTCCTTACATGTTGGCCGGCTTCCCTCAGAGCCCACATTCCAGGAGTCCAGGGTGTCAGCAAGACCTCTTGCCACCTGGCTCCAGAGGTCACCTGGCATGGCTTCTGCTGCATTCCACTGTTCAAACACGGCCAGCCCAGTGCACTGTGGAGGTACCACAGCAGGTGTGATCCCTGGGAGTGCTAGCTCATGGTGGGAGAGAGACTCCTTGGAGATAGTCTTCTGTGTTTTATTTTTGTGACTAATATCTAAATTACGTGACTTTAGGAATCATTTCTTTCATCTTTTATTATCTTCACTCTCTTCTTCCTCTCTCTTCCCAGACCATCAAAAATAGAAACACATATTTTAACGGACAATGGACTGGAAGCAATGGGGTCCCTAGCCTGGCTGTGTCACTTACTAGCCACGTGACATGGGACAGATGATACAACAGCACTTTACTTGCAGAACTGATGTGGCATGAAACCGTGATCACTTACCAATCACTTAGAAAAATGGCTTGTACACAATACACATCCAGAAATACCAGCCATTGTTGCTCATTTAATTTATATCATAATTTTCCATGATTTGGGGCAGTATTGCTGAGAGAAAAAGAAGAGACCCTTAACATTGTTTTCTGAACTGGAAAAAAAATCCACTCCATAAATGATAGTAATGGAAGCAACTGGCTCTATAAATGTCTCTTCAGGCACTGTCCATTGGCTGGAAACTTCCTGAAGGCGGGAAGACTTAAGTTTAAATTGTCTGGTTTCTTCATGTCTCACCCAGAGAGAAAATATACCTCATTGGCTATGAATCATGATTGAACAAAAAAAAAAATCACAACTAAAAAGCTATTAAATACTGAAAGAACCATGAAAACCAGTGTAAATAAACCAAACCCATATGGCCAAAACAATCATCAAAACATTGATGTGAAACAAAGAAAATGTCGTGCAGGGTGTGGAGTGTGAGGAAATGAAGGACAGATGTGATTCGCAGAGGATATGCAAGCACAGAGTGCAGAGCGTGGCACAGAGACGAGAGGCCGGGAAGGGCCGAAGCTGCGTTTTGATTGTGTACAGTTGACAATAACATAATTACTACCTGCATTTTAAACACTAGTACAGCTGTTGAAAGGATCTGTCCTTATTCAGGGAAAAGTGACTAATGTGAACTCTTCTGGGGACACAATGCACAACAGCCAGTTATGCTAGCTCCACTTGAGAGAAGTGCCTGCCATGAGTTTATGATACGTGTAATCAACAGAGATGGTTTTGAATTGCAGGAGGGCCTGTATTTCCCCTGCACAGAGCTCTCAGTTTTGTGGCTGCTGTTCTTTTCCATGAGATTGGTTTCTTTTGGGTGGCTGCTGCAATCACAGAGGCATTCAGGAAGATAGTGAACCGTGGCCGTGGGTTTTTGAGAGACAAGCCAACTCATGGCTTTAATTCCAGGAAAATCAAGGAGAACAGAGTGAATTTTGGGAATTTCAGCATGGAGAGGAAAGTCAGCATTCTGGTCTATTTGGAGGGATTCTAGTGTATGGGGCAGATCTGTTTGTTTTTAGGGTGCTGGGCATTGAACCTGGGTCCTCATGCATACTAAGCACGTGCTTTACCACTGAGCTACATCCCCATCCCCAGAGGTGATTAGATAGGACACCTGAAAACAGACCCCATGGAGGGTGGAGAGCAGATGGTATTGAAGGGAGTGTTCTTTGAGAAACACCTGTCAGGTGAAGGTGGGACTGGATGATACAGCTGAAACCAAGACCTCAGCCAAGTCCATGGAGCTCTGACGGCTCCCCCTGCCCCCAATATTTAGCAGTTTCCTCAGAGCTGTCATTGAAACCAGGAGTCAGGCCTTTGGGTGCAGTGGCCCACCCAAGGTGTAACACTGGACAGGACTGTGCTCTGCAGCCACAGGCACCGCCCTGTGCAAAACACAGACACGAGGCAGCAGCAGCCTGCCTCTCCAGCACCCAGTCTTGAGAGTCGACCAAACACCCACAGATTCTTTTTCATCGAGATACACAGTAAAGCACATGAACCTTAAATCCATGGTGTTGTGGATTGTCACCTGGGGATAGACGCACGTCACTCCATCCACATCAAGAAAGGGGCTACCTTCTCAGCACCCCAGCAGGTGGTCTCCTGCCATAGAGTCAACTTCCTCTTTGAGGGGCTTTAGTTCCCCACATCAGCCCCACCGTTGGGAGCCTGGGCTGGTGCTGGAGTCACTTCCTGGTGGCTCCCATCAATCTGGAGTAGTTGTTCTCAACCATGGGCAATCTGTCCCCTAGGGACTATTTGACAGTCTGGAGGTATTGTGCTTGTCACATCAGGGGGACTGGGACTAGAATGGAGGGATGAGTGGGCAGGGATCCTGCTAACCATCCTGCCAATGCACAGGACGGTCTCCAGTGGCAGTGTGACCTGCCCACCATACTGAGGTGAGAAACCCTGGGCTTGGGCAACTGGTGCACAAGGGGTCAGTGGTGAGCCACTAGCACCCTTCATTGCTAGTAGTGACGGATGGGTTCCGGGCACCACGAAGAGCATCTGGACAGGACATCAAAACAGTGTCTTCTGGAGATGTCTTTCAGAAATACGACGTCAAAAAACAAAGGAAGCTCAAGATGCTGTCTGGTCATTCTCCTAGGACACCTCACATTTTGTCTGCGAGGCTTGGGCTAGCATCTCCACATGTGTGCTGTTCATCCCTCAGTTCCACTGTGCAGACTAATGTCAACAGATGCAGCGGGGTCAGGGGCTGCCATTCTGCATATTCTTCAGGGCTTTATTGAGCTTTATTGAGCAAGAGCCTGAAAAGTTGTCTATCAAAATGGTGATAGTGCTTGAGCTGTCACCTGCCAGTTCTGTGTGAGTCACCTCCTCCTAGAAACACCTTAGAGAAGAACTGGAGTGAGACGGTTTTTCAGAAACCACTCTCCAGGTTAAAACTGTTGTTGGAGATCACATTGTCTTAATCACCCTGATAGGTGCCACCTTCTGGAAACCAAGGGTACTTCAACATTAAAGGACTTCAAGGAACAGAAGCTGAAATTAAAATTGTTTATAAAATTTATTTTATTTAAATTTGAACCTTATGGACCTCAATCAGTACATCAGGAAAGGACCAGTTTAAAGTAATTGAGGGTGACAGGCTACCTAATCGCCCTCAATAAGCTGGCTACAGAAAAAAAATAAAACAAAAAAGCACAACTATTTTTTTTTTTTAAAGAGAGAGGAGGGGGGAGAGAGAGAGAGAGAGTGATTTTATTTATTTATTTTAGTTTTTTTCGGCGGACACAACATCTCTTGTTTGTACGTGGTGCTGAGGATCGAACCCGGGCCGCACGCATGCCAGGCGAGCGTGCTACCCCTTGAGCCACATCCCCAGCCCCAACAACTATTTTTAAAGTAATGAATGTCTACCCAAAAGTAAGACTCAAGGATATGGAAACATAAAAAGTTAATACTGCAAGCTTTGGTTAAAAAATGACAAGATATTTCATTCCTGTTTTCCACCTCTAAATCAGAGTTAATATGAAATGTTTGTCAATAATGTCTTTAGTTTTAAGCATTATGTTTTCACAAAAAGGATTTCAATTTTGATCTATATAGCAATACAGTTATGTCTCAAAAATGTAGTAAAGTAAAAAAAAAAAAACTGCAGCGTTACATTTACAGTGTGATAATGCACCCACATAAAAGAGTCTAAGCACGAAGTCACAAGGGTACAAAGAGATGTCCTGAGAAAAATAAAAGGGTCTGAAGGGTGGCTAGAAAAGTCATCTTTGGGGGAGAGAGAAAAAGCTACATGCAGTCAAAGGGAATTTTGTCTTTTTAAAATGAATTTTAAACTGTGTGTAATTTACCACAATTAGAAATGCAAAATACAGTTAGAACTGTTGCTTTCTAAAACAAAAGCCAAAACAGCCAAATCTCCCCCAAACCATAGAACCCCACCAGATGGTTATAACTGTCAGTGTTTTGTGATGAGGCAGCTGTAATTTATATTTCTCATAAATCATAGCAGCACGACCATGTAGTCTGCTGTCATCACTCTGCGTGTGTGAGTGTGTATAGTGAGTGCATTAACCACATAACCAAGCGCCCAGGAAATACACAGCTCTGGTGTGTAAACTGCTTTTAATTAGAGTTTGCTCATAGACAGCATAGCTTGTTCCAGTGAATTTTTTCTGGCATTAATAATTTAAAAATATGAATGCTGTGACCTACAGGAAGGAGGTCCCATGGTGGATGTAAAGATTTTTTTTTTTTCCAGAGAAGCTAATTTGGAATGATTTAGCCAAAGGCCTTTCTCAAGGGACCTTTTAAGGGCAGCACTAATTCCAGGTCGGCATCAATTCATTGTTGTATTGAGTGTCTATGATTTGTAGATCTCACTGTGGTCTAAAGCAGGCCGGCTTGGCCTCAGATTGTGAAACAGGGAGGTAAGAGGTCATATGAGAGGGAGTCAACTCGGCAGTAGTTCAGAGCCTGGACCTGGGAGTCACACTTACCTAGGCTTCAATTCCCATAGAACCACTATGAGCATCCCGAGCAGGCCGAGGGAAAATGGAACGCCTTCTTCACAGAGCTGCTGGGAGGGAAAATGTGATCATATATAGGGTCTGCTGCAATGCCAGTACATAATAAGTATTCAACTAACACTAATAACTCCTGTTATTATTTTTTCTGAATCCTAATAAGTTTCAAGACTTTCTTTACAAGCATAGAAAACCAGTTTTTGAAAAGACTCTCTTTTAAAATTTTTTTTAGATGTTGATGGATCTTTATTTCACTCATTTATTTATATGTGGTGCTGAGAATCGAACCCAGTGCCTCACACATGCTAGGCAAGCGCTCTACCACTGAGCGACAACCCCAGCCCCTGAAAAGACTCTTGAAGTTGTCTTGTTAAGATAATTTTCATCCCTTTCCCACTGACGTCTGAAACCTGGGAAGGATCACTGGGTTATGCTAGTTACTGGAGAAATAACAGGAAAAACGTTGAATGAGAGGGAAAGGAGTCCAAGGGAATATATAGAAGAGGGAGACCAGTGGGAGGGGCGATGGAAGACCCAGAGGAACACAGACTAACAGGAGTACATGCAGGGAAGGGAAAAAGACAAAAGCCAGCCTCTGACAAGTGGGAGGGGAAGAGTGACAAGAAGGAAACGGGGTAAAATCCAGAGGGACCACGATTCCTCAGCGCAGACACGGGCATGGTTTAAGAGCCAGACGTTCTGCTTTCTCATCATTGCAAAGACTATAAGTCATATTTCGTAACCTCTCTGCGCCCAGTTTTCTTTGGAGTTCACAGCGTGGACCAGATGTCACAGTGGAGACTCTGCTAATGACAAAACCCTATTCAAATAAGGGATTATATAAAAAGTGGAGAGAAAGGAGAGCCGGGAAGGAAGGGAGGGAGAGTGTGTGTGCATGGGGGTTGAAAGACACGTGAGAACTAAGGGAAACCTCAGCTTCTGCAGCACCTGCTGCACCACACTGAGCGCTGACAGCAGGAGCTGGGACGCTGGAGCTCAGCACGCGCCCTGTCACCTTACCCTCACAGCGTTTCCTCGAGGCTAGCTCGTTTCATGATTATTAATACTACTACTGTCACCACTACTAGGTACTGGGGGGTTAACCAGGGGTGCTTAGCCACTGAGCCACACTCCCAGCCCTTTTCATATTTTATTTTGCGACAGGGCCTCGCTACGTTGCTGGGCTGGCTTCGGACTTGCATCCTCCAGCCTGGGCCTCCGGAGCGGCGGGGACAGCAGGCGGCACCACCGCGCCCGGCCTAGCCTCGTTTCACAGCAGAGGTTTCCGAGGCACAGCGCCTCCCTGAGGTTTCACACCGGAAACGCCTGTCTACCTGCAACGTCACCAGGACGCCCGGAGAAGTCACGGCGGACCACCCCTCAGGGTCCTCCCAACCCTTCAGCGTTCCGGAGACGGCGCCGCCGCTGCTTTTAAAGGGGCGTGTTTCCAGGGAGCCCGACGAGGGGCGGGACTTCCGGCACCGCGGTGCACACTTCCGCCTCGCGCCGGAAGCGGCGCGGTGCCCCGAGCGCGGGACTTGTCTGAAAGTCCGGGATCCCGATCGCGGCGGCCGGGCGTGCGGAGCAGCCATGCTGACCCCCGCGTTCGAGCTCAGCCAGGACCCCGACTTCCTGACGGTGGCCATCCGCGTGCCCTACGCCCGGGCCTCGGAGTTCGACGTGTACTTCGAGGGGGCGGACTTCAAGTTCTACGCCAAGCCCTACTTCCTGAGGCG